ATAAGCATAACAACGACTTTGTACTACAAGATTTCAAAGAAAAAATCATATTTTTTTAAGAAAAATATTCATTCAAAACAACAAGAAAGACATTTAATGACCCTTAGAGAAAATCAAATGAGTACTTCCAAAATAACCAAAAAAAAAAGAAAACATGTGATGCGCACCTGTGCATCAATCAAATAGAAAATTTTTTAAATCAAGTTCTTAAAAACTTTTGAAAAGGTACAAAGTCTGTCACTTTGTAATATTAAAGTTGCTCTAGGGCTTTCCCCTCTTAGAAACCTTTGCCGATGCTCCATTTTTTTTTCTATTGATGTCTTCACTTGAGCGTAGGGCTTCAACTCCCTATCCTTTATGGACTCTTCTAACTCCCCTCCCTCTTGCTTCTTCTTCCATCCTTAATCATATTCCTTCTCTTAAATGAAAATGGCTACTTTCTTATCACATCCCTAACCCCAACAACTTCTCACTTTCTTATATTCCCTGTGTGGATGATGAGGTTTGCTTCTCTGATCATGAGGTGGATGATGGTTCAACGAAATGGGACTTGGCTCTCGTTAGCTATGCACTATGTAAGCATCCTTACTATGAAACTTTTTTTAAGCTGACCAATAAGTCTAGAAACTAAGAGTTACGTTCAACCTCATCTCACTATTTGAGGGTTTCTTGCTCTTTAAATTTAACTACATGGAGTATCTGGACATGGTTTAATTTTGTGATTCTTGGTTTTTCAATGGCCGTCTATTTATATTTAAGTGGTCTCATGATTTTCAAGCTATTAAAGAGGATTTCAAAGAGGTTCCTCCTGTGTCAAATTTCCAAGCTTGCCTCTGTGATGTTGGACTAAATCTAAGATTTTCAATATCTTTAGCAAAATTGGTATACCTTTGACAGTTGATCCACTGAGTGATAAGGGCTCGTTACTTAAATTTGCTAGAGTTAGTACACAAATTGGTATTGATTCCATTCTACCATATTATATTATTATTTATATCAAAGTAAAAGATGTGGTCATCTCTGTTCTATATGAGTGGAAATCCAACCCGTGCGAATCCTACTCAACTTTCACTCTTGACCCTCAAAGTTGCCTAAAATATGTCAATTTCATACCTACCCCCATTATTCCTACATTTTGAGGTATAAGCTGCAACTGTGTAAGGTTTGGACTAAGGCCTCCAAGCAATACCAAAAAACAACCTCTGCCACCTTTATCCCCTACCCCTCTTCTTCCTTCTCCCTCATTTATCCCAAAATATGATTCCCACACCTCTCTCCTTATAGAAAATATTAGATTACAAGACCCTAACATCTTTCTACAACATGTTGTTCCTAAGGACGTTGGTTTTATTGGAAATGATTTGGGTGGTGAAGCTTTGGTTGCTAACCATAACTACCCCACTTAAGTTGGTCACAAAAAAATCTAACTAGAAATATCTCTCCTTCTACTTCTTCTTCTATCTCTAACCCTTCATCTTGTCTTCCCCCTTATAAATCCATGAAAGCCAGGTTCAAAGGAGGTGTCATGTATCACTAATTATGCTTATGTTTTTTTCCTAAAATTTATGCTTGAAATGTTCATTGTCTTAATGGTGATGTCTATATTATTGAGTGTAGAATATTGGTTAAAGAACACAAAAATGATTTGTTTTTCTTTCTTGAGACTAAGCTTTCCTTGTTTACCATCTCTGATCCCCTCTCAACCCATCATTTTAAACTTTTTTTTCTAATGAATGTGATGTTCACAACTTTCATACAATGGATGCATTTCGGTAAAATGAAACTCATCCAAACTTACTATTATGGCAACTGATATCCAGACTCAATATATTCATCGTTTAATTAGTCTCTCCTCTACCATTATTTTTTCTTATCACATTCATATATATCAATAATAGTACTTCATAAAAGAGAGTTTTATGAGATGGTATTATCTCTATTATTGATTCATGTTCTACCCCTTAGATTATACTGATGGATTTCAATTGTTTCTATAGACCTGAAGAAAAAATTTCGGCTCCCCAAATTCTTAGTAAGCTCTTTGATTTCAACAACTTTGTTTTTAATGCTAGTTCCTTGAAATGCCAAATATAAGTTAATTTTACAATTGATATACCAATCGATCTAATTCTCATATTAGATGTATGCTAGGTTGTGCTTTTTGCAATGCCAATTTAATGGATTTGTTTCATCTTTCTTCCCTCAAGGTTTTAAAACCTTCTACTTCTAAACATTCCTTGACTTTTGTCTGCCTTATAGCCTCCACAAAGCTGAATTATGAATTTATGTATAGAAACTTTTGTGGCATGTGCCCAAATTTTTTTTTAACATTATAGAGGCTACTTAGAATTCTCTAGTGATAGGGGATCCTATTTTTGCTTTACATCATAAGCTGAAAAAAGTTAAGCATACTCTCAAAGTTGGGAAAGGAGCTCTCTTTCTTCTTTTTATAAGATTATTTATGTTCTTAAAAAACAATAAAGATTTGTTTTTTCTCTCTTTAGAATCACCATTACAGTTGAGCTTTTCTTGAAGACCCTTAGATCCAAGATCAACTCTCTAATGTCATTTTTTGTGAATATAATTGGGTCAAACAAAGAGCTAAATTCTCTTGGTTGACAAAAGTGAGGATGCCATCAAATTTCTTTATCAAAAAATTAAAATCAGAAAGAATTTCAACTATATGAAGGAACTTTTGGTCCATGCATGGCAATTATGTTCATAAGTTAGAAAGACTTTCAGTGCTTTAATTTCTTATTTTTCTAACATGCTTAATAGTTCTAATGGTAATAATGTAGATTATGTTGATTTCTTTTTTATTTTATATCAACTCTTTAATTTTGATTGTCTCTCTCACTCATTGCTTCATTAATGATAAAATTAAGCATGCATTTATTTTTGTTGGTTATGACAAGGATATCGGATCAGACGAATTTACCTAAAAATTTTTCAAAGAAACTTGGGATATTCTTGGTCCTAACTGTCTTGCACCTATTAAAAACTTTTTGGGCATTATAAGACTTCCTAAAAAATTTAAGCATTCACTCATTACTCTTATGCCTAAAAATACTCAATCATAAACTTTTTCTGATTTCAGACCTATTTTAGTTTGCAATACCATTTACCAAATGATTAACAATAATTTAGGTAGTAGACTTAAATATATGATTCTTAATCTTATTCACTACTCAAGCTAATTTCACAAGGATTAATACATTACTGATACTGTTATACTAGCTAATGAAATTTTCCTTAGTTTTAATTCCAAATGTTCAAGGAAAACATTTTACTCTAAGATAGGAATAAATAATGCTTTGGATAATGAAAGTTGTTCTTTTTCTTATAATAGAAAAAAGAGACGTGGATTTCCTTCTTTGTTCGTGTAATGCATGAAATCTAATATTGTTGATGTTTTTTTTATTTTTTTGCCCTTATAATATTCAGACTAAGGGCTTGTCCCCTTCTTTCTATGGGCTTTGATAATAGTGACATTTTTCTCCTTACTTAGCTGTCATGATTATGAATGCTCTCTCACTTTTGGGTTAGCTTGGTTGCCTTCTCAAGCTCTACAAACAACAATATTTCCTACCTCATCTATGTTGATGACATCCTTATTTTTGGCAAGGTTAACATCACCACCTCTTCCATGCTTTGAATCTCTTCAATATTTCCTACCTTTGAATCTTATTTTTGGCAAGGTTAACCATCTCTTCCATGCTTTGAATCTCTTCTATTAGGCATCCTATCTAAGTGCTAACAATGTTAAGTCTGCTAGATTTTTTATTAATTATATGAATACTTCTACCCAAGAACTTCTTTGTAATGCTTGTGGATTTCACAATACTCCTTTTATTTGGGACTACTTAAGTGCGGTTATTGAGCAAACTAAAGTGACTTATTTGTATTGTAATAAACAGCTTGATTAAATTTACACTTGGTTATCTCGTTGGAGCAAAAATACTTACATATTGCAAGGAGATTGCAATTTATTAAAACCACCATATGGAATTATATATAATTCTAGTTTAGAACCGTCACAGCCCCTAAAGGCATGAGGAGGAAAATCACTTTTCTTTTTAGTAATTTCTTACATCATAATGGGGTGGAGCAGAAGCTTCAAACCATTTTTGGGAAGAAACTTTCTCTTTCTAAACCTTATGGTGGGTTGGGCTTACCTAGCTCATGTGCAAGCCCAAAATAATTTGTGACTATATAAATCTAATTCCTACCTCTCTAAGTGATGCATTAATCATTATGGCTGTCTCTGGTCCAAGACTAGATCCAAATTTTCTCCTTTTGGAGAGACCTTACTAAAATCGTTGTTAGAATAAGGGGTTGCCTCTCCTTTTCTGTTATTCTTGACAGCAAGCTTTCATTTTACTTCTGGATCACCTCTTTATGAGATTTATGTCAAGCAAGTGTTGAGCTAGTTCAATTTACCTCTTAAGACGAAAATTTTTGTTGTTATTCGTAATGGGATATCTCTTGCATCCTACTCGAATGCACATCTTCACCATATGCACAAGATTATCAATGTTACCATTGAGGATAATCATTTACCTTGCTTTTGGAAAGGGTTTGACCTTATTCTCAAAAGTTAGTTTAGTTTTTTGACTACAAGGCCCACCCAAAAGCATATTTGATTTAATCTGGTTTGATTTAAAGCATACTCCTATAATTTTGTTTTACATATTTGGAAAACTATCCAATGCGGCTTAAAAATCAAATATGTTCTCATTAGTAAAGGCATTACTTTAAACCTATATGTATTTTTTGTCAATCAAGTTGGGGGAAAACTCGAATGAAGGGTTCGTTTTAGCTCAAAAGCAAAAAGAAAACTCTAATTACCTCTACCTTGAATGCACCTACTCTTATACCTTACTTAAAAGTTGCATTTCGAATGAAGGGTTCGTTTTAGCTCAAAAGCAAAAAATAGTTTATTTTTTAAATTCTTAACAATAGGGTTGTATGCATGTAAATGCCCCTAAACACCAATGGTCATTTAATAAAAAACAATATCAGAAGTAAAAATCAAAAACAAACTCAAAATCAATAGGCACAATTTCTTGATTTCAGACGAATAAAACATTTTAAGAAAAAATTAAACTTAACTAAAATCAAACTTAAGAAAATCTACCACCAAACTCAACGCATAAAGACTTCAAACATCAAAAGTGCCCTTTTTCTTCCCACAAACACTGTTTTTTTCACAAATGTTTTCCTAATCTTCTTCCAAAGCTTCTACTTGATCAGCTTCTGATAACTCCGTTTCAGCAAACTCCATTACTGAATTCCTACTTTCTTCTGATAAAAAATGACCCTCGGCAGGCTCCGAATCTTTCCAGCTTCCAAAACGCACTGCAAGCCTATCGAGCAGCTGTTGTGAATCCAACTGAGAAACCATTATGCTCAGGTTGGCTTTCCCTTTCCAGCAAACTATGGCAATGGCCGACGAATCCGCCCGAAATTTAAGAGTTTCTTCGTCTCCTGTGGCAAATATAATTCAATAAGGGAAATACAACTTAATTCATATGTATTTACATATCTAACAGCTAAACTTGGCTTTTTACATTTATACCACTCCAATCTTTTGTACCATACAAAAAATTCCATCATTATAACTTTTAAAAAGTGAAATAAATACTTTTATGCATAGGTAAGACAGTATGTATGTAAAAAGTGAAGTTGAGCTGCTAGACATGTAAATACATAGAAATTAAGTGGTATGTATGTAAATTTTTCATAAAAAAATCAGTTAAAATGGCCAAGGACAAATAATTCAACATTTTCATTTTTCTTACCTTCCTTCAGAACTATTACACAACAACCTGGCATTAGAGCAGATGCCTTCTCACGGAAGTCAGCATCGACGAAATCAGGAAATTTGATCGTCCGATACTGTAGAAGGTGACGAAAATCTGCTAAGGATGCACGCAGAATCTGTCTGCCAATGTAAGGAAGAAGTAATGGTAGGCCCTCCGATGACAGCCGGAACATGCATTTTGCTGAGGCATCCTTGGAGGATTGCCTCTCCTGAATCAGTATAAACAAAAGTAAATGTAGGGAACCATGCTCAAGTACATAGCATGTTGGTTGGAAGCAAAGAGAAGAATCTCAAGATGTTGGGTTAGAGCCCTCAACTTGGCCTAACTATATATATAGATATATATATATATATCTAGGGAAACCGAAATATAGTGTTTTAGATGTGATATAAAAGATTTGGGATATATAAATGTAAAAAACAAATTTTAGGAGTTAGAAGCCGATTTCATACTCCAAAGAAATCTTTGATATGCGCATCACCACTCATATTTGATACTGCAGAACTTACTAAAGCCTAAAATTTCCATATTTGGATGCAAAAGTAGATTTGAGTTATGAAAATATGTCAAGCAGAGGAAAAATATTTGCGTACATAAGACGTACGCAGCGCTGCATACGTCCAGGGGTTATTCGGGGTACAGGGGGGTTATATCGGGGTTATACCCCTTTGTAACCCCCCTGTAACCTCTTTGTAAACTACCTGTAACCTACAAATGAGTTCCGCGCTTCTGTAGTTTCATGGGTACAAATAAGTTACACGGAAGTTACAAGTGAATTACACGGAGGTTACAAGGGAGTTACACGGAGGTTACAGGAGGGTATAACCCGGATATAACCCCCCTGTAACCCTTGAATAACCCCTGACGTACGCACCGCTGCATACGTCTTATGTACGCAAATATTTTCCCAGGCAGAGGGGATCAATGCGGTAAGATAACTCTCTTGAGAAGCTTTTAAGCCCTTGCAGCCTGTTTCAACCTAAGAGTAAATTTAACCATTCAATGTTACATCAGTAGTTATTGATGACTAGTGTGAAGAGAGAGAGAGAGAGAAAGAGAGAGAGGGAGATCAAAAGGAATATTTGCATTGGAATAGAATGGTTGAACTTCAAAATTAAGATATTGCACTTGTTAAGAATGGAGAAACTAACTTTATAACTGAATTAAATCTAATGCGGACTTATTTGTAATGTTTAGGTATGCTTCAATAATTTTGACAGGAATGCATAAAATATAAAAGGGGTTTTTACATACATATCATCCAAAACATCATTATTTACATATTTCACACCACAAAATTTTAATTTACAAATAAAACACCTAAAACTTAAAGCTCCTAACAATCACACCTTCCATTCACATCCGTTGAACTCTGAGTTTCATCCGTCATGGAGATCGCCGACGTTGATGCAACCAAGAGAAGTCGTAGATAACTTTCCCGGCACACAAGCGGCAATTAAGGCTAAATGGTCAGCGATGAAGAGGGTGTTGGTCGGCACCAAGAGGAGTCATAGATAACTTTCCCAACAGTAAATTTTCCTGCATTCTACTTCTCTGTAATCACCTTGAAATGGAAGCCCTTGCAACACTTTGCCTGGATATCTGCAATCAAGGCTGCCTATGAGCAACTCCAGCTCGTCGAAACACTGTACGACTTGGAATGCTATTCATTCCACTGACCACGCCATTGCTATCAAGCTCAAGCAGTTTTTATGTCCCAAAACAAAGCTTTTAAAACAGAGCAGAGCTCAACCAGTTCTCAAAAAGAGCTCAACTAAAACTCGCCACCATAATCATCTCAAAACCTAATAAATTACAACCAAGAATTTGGAATCCGAACTCCAGTCCAAATGGGATTTCGTCGGAGGAAAAGGAAAACACAAGGCATGGGAGTGTGGCTGAGTGAGACAGGCTATGACGTCGTTAATTGTGGTGTTTTGTTTTTTTTTGTAAATTAGAAATTTGGGGTGTGAAATATGTAAATAATAGTTTTTTGAATACTATGTATGTAAAAACCCCAATATAAAATAAGATTATTATAAATTAAATACAAAATATCCTAATTCTGAAAAAAAAATAGTAAGTTCAAAAGTATATTTGAATAAAATTTAAGCAAAATTTAAACAAAATTTAAATTTAAAACTCATAATCATCTGTATATTCTTATTAATTCAAAGTAAGGTAGAAATAAGGCCTCTTTATCTTTGCCATTGAAATTAATGTAGAAGTATAAAGATAAAAGAAATGATCTTCATATGATTTTTATTGATCTGAAGGATGCACATAGTCGAGTAAATGTGTATGTATGTAAGGCAAATGTTAGCAGTAAATTACATATTGAAGAAAAATGCTAATGTTGATGGTTATCAAGACTTCTATGTCACTAAAATAAAAAAATCGAACATAAGAATCGAAGTACTTACAAATTTACAGATTCCATATTTCCAAACAAATAAAAAAGATCCCTCAAGCTTCTTAGATAAAGGGTGCAGAATCAAAATCAATGAATGATAATGAGAACAATTTACAGGATTTAATTCATATGAACTACACATGTCAAAAAGCATATCAACATTTTAACAAGAAGGCAACGGTTGGCATGAAAAAACACAGGCAAAAAAAAAAATCAAAGATTAATATCAAAGATTAATACACACATAACAACATAGCTTCTAAACAATACTTACAAAAACCTTCAGACCAAGCGAAGTTATCTTCAGTTTTTGCCCAACTTTGAAATTCAGTTCAACAATCTCATGAACAGACTTCGATATGTAGTAGATCCTCTTCACATGATTGGCGTCACTGTTTCTGGTAATGAGATGGCTATCGAGCAGAAAAGAATCACTGATACCATAGAAGGATCGAATACTATTGATCGTGTTTTCATCCCTGAAAAACACAACAGGGTCGATACCTCTCCACTTGCCTTGCATTTGTGTGTTTCCTTTAGACTGTTTAGTTTTCAAAATGTCATCCGCAACCTTGTCTAACAACAATAATTTTTCATCTGATGGCACAGATGATAATCCATCGGTTGAATTTGGAGCAGAAGATGCTTCCTCTACACTTTGGTTATATTGTGAAACATCCTTGAATTCAGTGTTTTTTTGTGCGTCATGCCTCCTTTTAGGTTGACCAATCCGTTTGACAGATTCATCTGACCAATATAAATGGCACGATTATATGACTAGTATATGGTGTAAAAAAATTTTAAGAAAATGCATACCACCAAATTCTTATTTTTCTATCACCTACACTTTGATTTTTACATTCATATCACCAAAATCTTTCATATCACATAAAAAATACCATAACTTTTACTTTTAAAAGAGAAACACACCTTTCCATGCATATGTAAATTGGCATACATGTAAAAATTGAAGTTTAGGTGTTAGATATGTATATAGATAAGAATAAACTCGTATGCACGTTGATCTTAGAAAAAAAAAACACTTGTTAATAGATGAAATAATTTTGAAGACTACTTGGCTGATTAGAATAAAAAAGAATACCAGTTAATGATGAAATCTTATGTAGAACTGCAATGAAAAATGCTCCGGTGTTTTGATCATGAGGAAGTATCCTCATGCAACGTTCAAGATCAAGACTTGAAACTCCAGTTTTTGTTTCATTAATGTTATCTTGAGAAGCACCAACTCTTATGGCATCCTCTCCTTCAATAGAATCTTTACTAATATCAACCTGTGAGGCATCATTTTGCAATTTTTCTGATTCATTATCACAATTTTTTATATTTACGAGATGATCTTTTGACTCAAAGCTGCAGTAATTTTCAACTGGTGTGTTGACCATAGTTGCTTTCTCTTCTTGACGACCAAAAAGCAACTTATTCGTGCAACTTTGATCAGAAGGAAACATACTTGGAAAAATCAGTCCTCTTCTAGAGATAGGAACATCTTCATAAGCACCTAGCCAAAGTCCCTTATCCCGAACCTGGTACCATATGAGTCAAATGTAAAGAGTATGTTTTTTGCAAAGAAGACAAAAATGACTATTTTCACATCATGGAGGGGTAGAAGTAGATTTTGCATGGTGGTAGCTCGCTAAACTAGGTTAATTGTAAACAGCCTATTGTTTGGCGAGCACACGATAGCATATGTTTGAGTAATATGAAAGAAGAATACTTCATATTTTCATATTCTAATGGGTAGAATAAATATGATACTTAATGCTTATAGGAGAAACATATTTTGAAAGGATGAAA